GTCTCAAAGTAATCCAATTTTAAAAAAAGTTTAAATAAATTCATAAATTTCAATAAACAAGACGGTAGAATCAAAAAAAAGAAAGAAAAAATATTTCTTATAATATGAAGCAAAGTTATTTGTAATAAACTTTATCAACTTACAATGATAACTATCCCACAGTTATCTAATGATAATTATAATATTTGATTAGCATAAGAGAACTTCAATTCATGCATTTATTGTAGGAGAATTAATTATTACAAAGATAATCATCATATAGTGATAACTATCTTGTCTTTATCATGTGATAATTATTTTCTCATTAAAAAAAATACATATTACATTATCTTATGCCTACCTCATACTAATTAAATTATCTTATGCTAATTAAATTTTGTAATTACATTGTTTCATATTGTTATATGCGAGATTTATGGTATAATTTTTACAACATTTTTTTGTTGACAAAAAACTTTTTCAAATTTAAAAAAGTTTTTTTTTTCTGTTTGAAAGAAAAAATGGAAAGCAAAGCTAGGAACAGTAATTGAGAAGAATGAAATAATTAAGGCAGTTAAAGCTAAGTAAGCAAATTAAATTATGGCCATAAATGGAAAGCGGTAATGAATGGATAATTCAACAGTGTATCTATCGAATCAAAATATACCATTATCAGAAAAGATATTTAAATAATTGATATAAAATATTACAGTCAAAAAAAAAATGATTGAAGACGAAACAAAAAGGATTATTCAGAAATTCAAAACTTAAATTAATCTCGCAATGTGCAATTTAAAAGAATTAATTGGTTTTAATAAATACTGACCTTTGATAAATTACTGAACGAATTCATTTAATGTAATGATTGCGGTTTTGGATAATTCTAATAAATATTTTAATTATTTCCAATAAAAATAGTATTAAATTTTATTTTTGAATATATACATTAATTTAATTTTACAATTTTTTCACAAATTTAAATTTAAGGAATTTGGAAAAAAAGTGTAATTAATTCCATTTGAATAGATTATGATTAAAATGGTAAACATTCCACTTATTTGCAAAGTGGTAAAGAAAATTAAAGTTCAAATTTTTCCACCTTAAATGGTATAAAATATGGAGAAAAAAAAGAGGGGAATTAATAATTATTTAAATTAAATCTTTTTTGTATTCAAAAGAAACTTTTAAATGTGGTACATTAAAACTGCAGTAAAAAGAAAAAATTAATACAAAAAAGAAATGAAATAGGTGAACATCTATTAGATTTAAAATTCAAAAATAATTGAATTTAATTTCTGCATTTTTTACATCATCTAAAACTGTTCAATTTTTCTTTTTCAAATGCAAAATGAAGCAATTCATATTTAAATCATTGGAAATTAATTTTTTTTCTCTGCTTTAACTATTCGATTTATTTTATTTGTTAATTTGATTTTTGAGCATTTTTTTTTCTAATTTTTTTGCGAAATATATTCAATTTTCACAAAAATTTTTTTCAATTTGTTTTATTTCTAATGAAAAATTATTACCTTTACAATCTTTTAGATTTCAAAATGCTTCCTTTCATTCCCGAACAAAATCTGGTTTTTATTGAATTCGATTTTTTTTTCCTTTTTTAAATTTGTCCCCAATTTTCTTACCATTCCGACTAAGATGCAATTATTTTCTTTCAATTTAAAAAAAAAAAAAATTTGGGTAAGATTTGGTTGAAGAAATTAGACATATATAATATTTGAATTTATGAAATATCAGTTCTGAAAATCGTATATTAAAACTATGTTATTTTCCTGAAAGTAAAAAAAAAAAACTCATATTCTGTAATTTAATTTTCGAAACGGTTAGATTCCAATTCAATATTTGATAAATTATTTTTAGTTTAAATTTTTTGGATGATTTTTTTCTTTTTGTTTTTTACAAATATTTAAGTTTTCAAGTTTTGAATTACATTCAATAAAAGATATGTAATTAACAGTTTCACTTCCCTTTTTTCTTGAAAAAAAAATTTTGAAATTTTTTTCAAATAATAAATTACTGAGAGTACTGAAATTAAGTACTAAAAATACCATAAATGCTATGAAATAAATTATTAATCGTTGAAAAATTACGAATAATTAATCGTTAAATATTCGCAATTCTATTGTCTTTTTTCATTTTTTTTTTTTCACCAACACTTTAATTTTCAAAAAATATAAAAGGAAACAAAGGAAAGTGATAAAAAAAATTTTTTATTTTAAATATTAATGTTGAAAAATTTTTTTTTTTAAATAATATAAATTGTTCATTCTTTTGTTTTTTTTTTTGTTCTTCCTTGTTTGTATTTTTCTTTAAAACCATTTCAATTTCCTTTTAGTATTCATTTTTAAACATAAAGTAGAAATGACGAAAGTTTTTTTTTTGTTAAAATTCCTTTTAAATTTCCAAAAATTTTGGGAACTTAAATTCATAAAAAATTCTACCGAATTCTTTTTTGTTTTCCTTCCCTTTGTTTTTGAATTTATTTTTTATTTCATTTCCGTTTTTTTCTTTTTTGAATTTGAATGAAACAAAAAGGTAAAATTCCTTTCTTTTCTTTTTTCTTTTTTTTTTGAAATGTTTGCCGTAACGTTTGTCAACAAACAATTATAATGCCACTGGAAAACTGTGAACGAGAATTTGAAATCTAAAATTCAAACATCTAACGATAATTTGAAAATGAGTCACTTCCTTTTTAATTACCGGATTATTTTCCTACATTCATCTATTTTCCCTTTTTCCTTCCTTCATTCTCATCCAATTCCTTCCACTTTTTCCTTTTCCTTCTCATTATCAATCATTCCATTCATGTTCATTTCCCAAAATTCCTCTCTAAATCATTCCGATTTGATTTTTAATTTTATTTTTCGAACATGAAGTGAAAACGATAAAATTGAACCGTAATATGAAATAAGGTAAACTTTTGCCTTTTTAAGGAAAGAGGATTAAAATAAAAAAATTGTTAAATTGAATTTTGAAATTCAGATAAAACGAAAAAGAATGAAAGGATTTGAAAAAAAATGATGAGAGAATGAAAGGAAAAAAATAAAATTGAAAAAAAAAATCGATAGGCGAAAAAAAAGAAGATTTATTATTGCAATAAAATATTTAAATTTGATTGAACAATTTATTTATTTCATGCAAAAAAAAATTTATTTAAACAGGTTAAAAGGACATTTATCATAAGTAAATAATAAATATCTAAACAGTTTAACAAAGATTTATCATAATGATAAACAATTAATTTCTTATCAATTATTCAACATCTAAATTGGTCCAAAGTGTAGATAAAAATTATTGAAATAATTACCAATAATTAATAACATAAATAACTGAAATAACATGAGAAAAACTTAATTTCAATTTAAAAAAAAAAAACGAACCGAAATTAAAACATTAATCAACAATCATTTATAATTTAAAATTCCTTTTTTTTGGAAAATTTTCATTTTTTTAAGGTAGATTTGAAAAATTTCACAATTTACTCAATTATTTTTCTTTTCCTCTTTTTTTTTCGTCGTCCTTCTTCTTTCTCTTTTTCTTCTTTTATAATTCAAGAAATTTGAAATGAATTTAAACAGAGTAAGAGAAGGAAGCGGGAAAAAAAAATCAGTTTTGCATAATAATTATTTAATTTGAAAAGTTTTCATCGTAGTAGTGATATGATTATTGTATTGGAAATTAAAAATCATCATTTCGGCAATAAAATATTAATGTGCAGTAATTAACTAATTAATTACAACAACTGACTAATTTAATAAATAATACGACTAATTAATTGAAAAAGGTAATGCAATTTTGATAAAACTCGGGAAAATTTTTTCTCAATTTAATCGAATTTATCTTAAACGACAAATATACTTTTTTTTTAATTTGCCAATTCATAAAATTTCGTCTTCATTTACCTCCAGCTATCTCATAATTAATTTTAAATACGGTAACGATTAATTAATCAACTTGAAAATAGCTAGAGAATAGCGTCAAAATTAGTCGAAATACTAGAAATATCCAGAAATAACTTTATTTATGGAGGATCAATAAAAAAGTTAGTGCTCATATCAGTAACTTTTTTTGGGGACAAAAAATCATACATACTTTTAATAATTATTACATTCACATGTTACTTCTATTTTGTCTTGTCATGCATACAAAATATATTTAATTAATGCTGACTAATTAATTCAGATAGTTGAAAAAATAATTTAACAAATAGTGCTCAGTGAATATTTTTTTTTTCAACAACATTAGAATGAGCAGTAGAACGATTATTAATTGCTTCACCAAATAAATACTTCTCAAACAATAAATATGATATCAGCCAAATAAATGTTCCTTTTCAAATTATTTCAACATTTATTTTTATTTTCATTTTTTATCATTATTAAAAAAATCAATAATTTATATCCTAATACATTAGCTAAGATTTAGATATTGTAAAAATGAAACTTTTACAGTTTATTCATACGGAGCTATTGCATGAAAAGATATTAGGGAGAAGTAAAAAAAAAAAAGAAGGAAAGAGAATATTTTTCCTTCTTTTTCCATCCGTTAAAATTTGATAAATAGAAGTAGGTCGAAGAAGATTAAAGTCTTTAATGTTATTCAGGATTAAATATTTTCAAGAAATGCTAACAACTTGATCAAATTTGATCGCCCAAGATGATAATCAATATGATATGCAAATTGTAAGCGATAATTAAGAAAAGAAGAATGATGAAAAATGCAGAAATTTGAAATAACCATTGTTAATTAGAAATTAATGGGCTAAGAAATTTGAATTAATTCAAAATTTTGCATTTATTCATAAACCAATATTTAATATTTAATACTTGATGAAGTTATTTTTATTACTAATCTACTGTTTCAATGTTTGTTTTATATATATTTAATAAAAATTTTTATTTACTTTTCAATTTTTTAAAATTTGAAATTTTAAATTTACGAAAAATTAACAATCATATTTAATGTTTAATTGTTTGTATTAGCTACTGAACTGTTACCTTACTTTTCTTAATTAATTTTCCAATACAATTCTGTAAAAGATTCTTTTATTCATTTTCTAATTTTACTATTTTTGATTACAAAAAAAAAAATTAAAGGAATATCAGCTGAATTGTAAAGCTTAAAGAAATAAAAAAGGTGGCATAATTTATATTTACCATTCAAACCAACTACCCATTTAAATGAACTGAAAATTCGAAATTTGAATTTAGTAATGAATCACTTGTCTAATTTACATTTTATAAACCATATTACGGGTTTTCTATGATTAAAATTTACCCAAATCTTTTAAGCCTTTTAACCTTTTTTTTTTTTTGAAATATGTTTATTGATCTTTTTTAAATATCATTTTTGACTTTTTTCAAATTAGGAAATTTGAAAAAAAACAATGAAGGAGAAGTTTTTGGGTTTTTTTTTTCTAAGAAAAAAAACATTTTTTAATAGAAAAAAAAAAAAAAAAAGAAGGAAGAACAACTTACCGCATAACTAATTTGTCGATTAATAATAAAGCATGGAAATATTGAATATAGCAGCAATAAATATTGTAAATAATAGAATAACGCATACATTACTGACCATTTAGATAATTATTATGATAAATTCTTTGATAAAAATTGCTTATCAATAAATTATCGTACTTCTTCGATAATTGTAACAAACGATTGGAATGCATTATCGAATATAATAATCTATGTTTGTTGTCATTTTAATTCGAAAATTTCCATTGAATAAATATTCATACAAAATTATTATCATAGCAGCTTTTGAAATATTAATCGAACAATTTCAAATTGATAAATGTCGCACGTGATAGCTGCAATTATTTTTTTTTTTTGCACGTTATCGAAGGATTCAATAATTCAGGTTTATAGGCAAAAATATAGAATGAAAAGGAGAGGAAGCATGGTTCATTTAGAATAAATAAATGAATGAATGAATGAATTAATTGTTAATTAACTAATTAATAATTAAACGACTGAGTGACTGAATGAACGAATGCATGAATAAATGAATGAGTGAATGAGTAAATGAATGAATAAATAAATGAGTGAATGAACGGATGAATGAATGAATCATTAAATGAATGAATGAATGAATGAATGAATGAATGAATGAATGAATGAATGAGTGAATGAATTAATGGATAAATAAATAAATAAACAAACGAATAAATAAATAAGTGAATAAATGAATGAATGAATGAATGAATGAATGAATGAATGAATAAATGAATGAATGGATAAATGAATGAATGAATTGAATGAATGGTTAAAGGAATGAATGAATGATTTAATAAATAAATGAGTGAAGTAAATAAATGAACAAATAAATGGGTGAACAAACGAATGATGAATTTATGAATATATGAATGAATAAATGAATGAGTGAATGAAATGGTTTGATGATGTTGACAATAAACTGAACTGTCGTTGACAGGAAAACTGAACACTAACAGAGCAAAAAAAATTCTTACAGATAATGAAAGAATGAGTTTTTCTTTTTCTTCTTCTTCTTTCCTTTTCTTCCTTTGAAAAGAACTTTGAAACAGCAAAATTTAGGATATTTACGTATTTAAAGAAGGAAGAAATGCTGTGAACGATGGATAAAATGAGCAATAAAGGATCATTTTGATTTTGATGACACCAATCTTGGCGACGACTAGGATGATGATGGCAACAACG